GATTTGGCTCATTATTGTTGGAATTTTCAGCCACGAGAACACATACAATGGTTAAATAAAAAGGAAAGAAGAAAGTCCTTACCGAGCCAAGCCGAAAAAAAAATACCGAAAAAGGATACTCGAAAAACCAAGAGGTTCAACACCCTGTAGTTGTTGAAGTTGGTGAAGTGCACAAGATAGGCCACAAAATTGTTGAATAAGAATATTGCCTTCTCGATATAATGTGGTCTCAGGGTTGCACCACAAACTTATGAGAGAAGAGATCACCAGCAATCAACTTATGAGAAAAGAGACCATCAACATGCTGATTTATTCGTAGCGATCTAATGGTCATCGGGCGTTGCTTTGTTTGACTTGCCTCATCTCTGATCAGTAAATAGCAAAAAAAATAAAATAAGGGATGGATTAAGTCCCAATATGAACCAACCAAAGACCAAATTGTTCCTTCTATACTATCATCAATAAGATTATTTAACAACACCGTAAGAAGTTCCAAAGCGATAATCTAATGCTTGTTCAAAAGATGGGCTATAAATTTTGTGGAGGCAAGCAACAACGGCTAGTCCAATTTCTTGAATTTCAAGAGACAACTATGAGTAAACTGGTATTCTTATTCTAACCCTGAAACTTCGCTTTTCGTATAGCAATGAGGCCTTCAATCACAAACTGATCCCTTTTTAGCAAGGACCCAAACTCCTTTAGAAAGCCAACTAGGAAACTACTGCGCAAGAAGCTTGTAATAGATTTACAAAAAGAGAGTGCAACAGCTTGGCACTAACTTGCTGGTTTGTAAAGAAGGATGGAATTTGCTATTTTTCAACGAAGAATAAAATCAAACCCAAAGAATCCGTTGAGCCCGTATTTTGAGCTTATAGAAGATCGATCCTTGAAAAACTGAAGTACATTGACTATAGTGATTTTTTTTAGGTCTCAAGATTTCTGCTCTTATACTATGTTAAGAGTATGAGAGAGAAAATAAGTACACAAGAATTTACATGGTTCGGCCGATTGGGCCTATATCCACGAAGGGAGAATTAATATGTATTATTATGACCCTTCTATGGCTCCCTTGTACAAATATATAGAATTGTACATGATAACATTCTATATTGAAGAGTCTATAATAGGAAATAGTGAGCAACCTGATTAAGGGAAATCAATGTGATTTAGGAAAGCTGGCTGATATGTAGATATCATTGGGATACACCAAGCTGTCTCAACACTTGTCTTGGAGTGATAGGTTGCATTCTTAGCCAAATGAATTACACTTTGAGTATCAATGTACAAAGTACCCATAACTGGTTAAATAATCTCCTCAACCAAATCGTTTTTCGTAGATGCTTCAGTCCAAAGCCACGTACTCGGTTGCAGTTGATGACAACGCAACAATATCTCATAACCTTGGCGCCTAACTAACTCCACCACCACCACCAACCATAAAGTTGTAACCTAATAGACTTAAAAGTCTCATGACACCCAACATAACAAGCATCAACAAAACCAACAACTTTTAATGGTTAGTTTCCAAAACACAAATATATATTTCGTGTTCCTTTAAAATATCGAAGTATCCAATTCATTGCTTGTCAATGTTCTTAACGTGGATTAAACATATGTCCTCAAACAACTCCCACTACATGGAAATATCAGGTATAATATAGACCATTGTATACGTCAAGCTACTAATTATAGAAATATGTTGAAGCTTCTTCATCTTGCTTTTATCCACCTCACTCATTGAAAGAGTCATTTTTGACGACTTACATTTTGAAGCCAATGGTGTTAAAACACTCAAGAATCTTATAAATACATTTAAATTGAGTTAACCAAAGCTTCCATTGCTTTTTATCTCCGTGAATGCACATGCCCAATATCTTCTTGGCTAGCCCAAGATCCTTGCTAGCAAAATCTTTGAACATTTCAAACTTCAAAAGTTTAAACTCGTTTAGATCAGTGTTGGCAATACGCATATCATTAATATAAAGTAACAAAATAATAAAAAAAATAATATGTTGAATCTTTAAAATACACACAATAATCAAATTCACTTCTAGGATGACCTTCACCATGCATAAACTGTGAAATTTCTTATACCATTGCTTAGATGCTTGTTTTAACCTATACAAACAACTTGCAAATCAAGTTAGGATTGATCTTGTCTTCAAAACCTTAAGGCAAATACATAAATTTCTTCTTCAAGATCACCAGGAATTATGTCAGTTGTGATATCAATATGTTAATGCTTTAGATTTAAGTTAGCAAGCAAAGATAACGACTCTAATACAATTATGTTTACCAACAGAAGCAAAAATTTCATTAAAATAACACCTAGCCTTTGTTCGTGAGATTTTACTAGAAATTTGGCATTATATCGTATAAGGCATTTGCCTCCCACGTAACAACCGCGTATAGTCACCTATTTTTGAATGCTTTCTTTTTATGTGGGAGCATTAATGTATTATTTATTATTGTACAAAACTTCAATCTACTTCTCCATTGCCTTATCTCACTTTTCACCATTAAAATATTTTGTAGCCTCCTAAAAAGACTCACGTTCACCACACTATCATTATACAAACGTAAAGAAGGAGAGTACCTTTGTGTGGACTTGTCCATCAACATCATCTTGAGCATGATGATGAATCTCTTATACTTGAATAATGAGATTTTGGACTCGCATATTTATAACAAGCCTTTCTTAAATTTGTTCTTCTTATTTCTTTTCAACAAATATCAAATCTCCATTAAAGAGAAAATCATTGATTCATATGGCATCTCCTCCCCTTTTTGTTAATTAAAATGTTCAGACATCCAATGTTTTGAAGAGGTGCCATCTTGTTTAGATATTTGATGTATGAAATGTTCAATTAAGAAAAAACAGTTAGGGCATCCAATATTTGGGTTGTTCTTGGGTTCAAAATTAAAGATCGAGGTCTGGACATTGGATATCCGATCCAAAACCGGATAAAATGAAAGATGGGGTTTATATGAGTCAGTCGACCCATAAGTACCTATGCGGCCTCTCTCTAAAATCTATTTTAAAGATGGATTTTTTATCTATTTTTTTTTGTAGATTCATCATCTAGGTCAAGATGATCATGAATATGAAAAGAAAAATAAACTTTTACCTTAAAAATATAGTTTTTTGGTATTTTTTTGTGCACCGTCTATATATTATTTATGGCCTATATAATTTGAGTAATGATATTATGAGACTTTCCCATACATTCTAGTTATGAGCAGAGTCGAACATATGTAAATAGATACTATAAATCCCGACGTCATTACATTCCATTTAGGTTAGGAATAGGTGTAATCGGACATGCTTTTTACATGTCTATCATTTTGGGTACTATATTCACTTCGTTTCGGCTTCTATTGAATCGAGAAATAGGTTTGATTGTACATCTTTTATAAGGCATCCTCCGGATAATTCAAATCCAAGCAATTTGATGTACGACTCGGGCCTATATGACATGACCGATCGATAGAATACTCCAAAAGACCATCATTAAATTTTGACATAGATCTCTAAAAAAGTTATCAATAAACCCATTCACCTCAGCCCCACACCCATGTGATAATTTTTTTAGAGATCGTTATCAAAATTTAATAGTGATCCTATGGGGTCCTCACATGGGTGTGGGAGGGTCTCATAATATCATTACTCATATGATTTATATAACATCCATCTTTAGGATTGACGTTTGTAAGTCAACTGAGCTCATGGAACGCTTTTCCTAAAAGAGTGCGGTTTGTATAGAGCCGAGGCTCTAAACAATTAAATTAGAGCCCACCTTCAAATAGTGTGGAGAAATATGATTTTAATACTGGAAATTTTTGTAATAGCCTTGAAATATATTTTCATCTTCAATTATAGAATTTAAAGTTTCAAATATAGTGTAGATCGAGCAGATCTATGAAAATTTGAAAATCTTGAAAATTGACGGTTCAAAAATGCATTACAAAATGCACTATTTCCAAACCTTGAAATCTATTTTTTTCTCATGTCCATGCATCTTGATGTTGAGATGATCAATTTGAGGATATTTGGGCATAAAAACAACCTCTTCTAGTGATGTTTTTGAGGTGGGCTCTAATTTGATTGTTTAGAGCCTCCGCTCTGTATAAACTTTTCCCTTCCTAAAATGAAACAAGAAAACCACCAAAGAAATGACTAAACCTTTAAAAACAAAATATAAAGGATTTTTTTTTTTTTTTAAAATTGGCAACATTGGGATTTGAATGTAAATTTAATTTATGTTTATGAATTTTACCATTTGAGGGATCATATCCCCATTTTTTAACATATTTTTTTATATATTTATATTAAAAACGTTTATATAGAGCCGATGCTTTAAACAATCAAATTAGAGCCCACCTAAAAAATTTCAGTATAAGAGTTGTTTTGATGCCCAAATATCCTCAAATTGATCATATCGACATCAAGATGCATGAACAAGAGAAAAAAAATGGATTTCAAGTTTTAGAAATAGTGCATCTTATTACACATTTTTTTACTTTCAATTTTCAAGATTTTCAAATTTTGATATATCTACACTGTTTTTGAAACCTTAAATTTTATAATTAAACATGAAAATATATTTTAAGGGTATTACAAATATTTGCAGTATCCAAATATGGAAACTATATTTCTCCATAGATGGGCTCTAATTTGATTGTATAGAGGTTTGGCTCTATACAAACGACACCCAATTATCAAGGGTGAGGTTTGTGTTAGGTTGCCTCCCTGTACTGTAGAAGTCAGGTGCACCTATAAAATTTATTTCGAGATGTTATTTCGGTGTTGAAAATCTTATGGTTGCTTCAAAATCTCTTTTTATCTTCAGTTAGAAAATATAAAATTTTAAAAATGGTACAAATCAAGCATATCAATAACATTTAAAAATATTGAAAACAGACTGTCCATATCACTTTTTACCATATGTATTAGTTTTTTAATTTGAAATTCTTTTTTTTTTTTCATGTCCATTCATCTCGGATGATCGGTTAGTCGGAACACTCTCCACTGTAGGATTTTTGAGATGCACCTTTCCTCATCAGTATAAGGTTGCAACCTTCTGCAAACGTTTTCCATTTATGAATACCCCACTTTAGTCATCTTTTGAAAATTTGGACTCAAGAGGAAAAAGTTTCAGTTCCTGAGCCGTCTTTGCTGACCTGCTCTCTTCCAGGCTTCCAGCGTTGAAAAACCGGACTGCACATCAGCCCCAAAAATGGAAACTTATGATCATGGATGCGGGTTCTTAGGCATATTTTAAAAATAAAACTAGGTTCTTTATCTGTTCCTTTTCGCCATGTGGATCCCACTGCAGGCACGTAAGGAGGCCTCTGTACGGTACATAGTGCTGGAGTTGAGTCCTTTCTATGTTCCGTAAGATAGCTTAAAACCCTAATTATATTTTTTCCCACAATCTGTGAAATCCGAAACCTAAGAGAGAAGGAAAATTGAAATCGTTAACAGAAGGTCTCTGAATCAAGAAATCCTAGTTTTTTGAGAAATTCTTTGCGAACGAGGATCCGTAGAGGACCACCCATTGATCAAGGTAAGTCTTTATTTGAGTTTTATTTTCTGAAAATAAAGTCTTTAACAGCTCCAACTTAAATTAATCAGGGGAAGTCTCTTTTCCATTTTCTCTGAAATTTTTTGTTTTCCCTTCAAGTTCTACTCCAAAATTTTTTGTTTTTTGTTTTTTGTTTTTTGTTTTTGTTTTTTTTTTATAGTTCTTGGTTTTTTTTGTTTGGGTAGATATTGTTTATAAGCAGATATAGATAAAGTCTTTTTTGTGTGATTGAAGTATTAAACGAGTCAAATTGTCAGTGAGTTTTTTTGTTCATTTTTTAGTAAAATCAATTTGAGATTTATAGTTCTCTATGTGTTCATTGCAACTTAAATGAGTTAAATTCATTTTGCATTTATGGATATTTCAAAATTTTTAATTAGAAATAATAATGCATAGTTTAAGAATTTTATGATTTATTTTTCATCTCCCGGGTCATATTGTTTGGTTCTTCAGATGACTCGCTAGTGAGCTTGTCAAGTCGGGTCCAGTTTTCAGGTCCGAGGAAGATGGTTTTCGGCGAGCTTATTATAGTTTTGATGGCTCTTGAAAATAGAGCGCTCTTGAAAAAGAACCCTCAAAAAGGTCTTGCTTTTGAAGATGGTCTTAGTGGTATTGTTGGCATACATGATTTTAAAATAAATGGGGGTATTGTTTTTGTGATGTTAGAGAGAGTGATTAAGGTGTTTTTGTTGAATTCTTAGAGGTTGTTTCTTCTTGGGTTGAATTACAGGGAGGGAGGAGCTGGTGCTGGTGCTGGTGCTGGTGTTGGTGTTTGTGATTTTTCAAGGATTGAAGAAGGATCAGCCCTTTACAGCTCGCAGGGTCACGCACTAGTGAGCAAGCCTGACTAGTACAGCGATGCACGTTATAGGTGTGATTTCCGCTGTAGATCCCTGTTCTTTGGTTATGTTTTTTTTCCTTGTTTTCCTTTGTTTTTGTTTTTCTGTTTTTTCATTGTTTTGCTGTTATGATATTGTTTCTGGTTCATTGCCAAAATTGCTTGTGTATAATGGTTATGAATTCCGTTATATCTTGTGCTTATTAGCTCATGTCAATGAGAATTCCTTAAGCAGTGCAACTACATGTGTAAGTTTGTTCTGGATTGCTACATGCTTTTTCTTTTCTGTTTATGGAGTTTGAACATTTTGTTTTATTCTTTCATTTTGGACCTTAATTGCAAGAACTCTGCTTCGAGTAGAATTCCCTTTCGCAAGAATAAGACTTCTTCTGCAAGTGCCCTTGCCATTCCAAATAGAAAATTGTCTTCTTACCAACCTTACTCCCAATTGGAACCATGGAAAAGAATGCCTTACTCCCATGAGCTTCCCTAGTTGTTTATGGTATCCATAATTTGGAAAACTTCCTCTATGCACTAAGTCGGCATGGTCAAGCTTGTTGGGGATTTTTGGGTTCATGTAGTATGATTTACTGCACCTTCTGTTTGAAACTATGTTGAAGCTCCATTTTGTCACATTTTTCCATGTTCTACCTGATGTCATGTTGTATTAGTCTCTTCTTTTTGTTTCTCCTCATGTTATGTGTACATCTGGAACAATGCTTCTCTCATCTATAATTCAAAAAAATCATCCAGTTTATGCTTGTGTTGATATTCCGTTGTTCTCGTTCTTATTCTTCTACTATTACTTTATTAGCTTTTTTCGTAGTGTTTTGCATGCATGAGTTGAACGAAGGTCTTATATGAAACTTTACATTACACCCAACCATTTGATTTCAACAGGGAAGGCTAGGGTGTGTCAACCCTGCACTCAAAATCTGTATGTAAACACTTGATGTCTGGTGTTTCTCTCTTCCACTTGAAGTTCATAAAAAAAAACGACATATTTTGAGAGGAAGAACGACTCATCCCCAAGTTAACATTCTCAGAAAAAAAAAAAAGAAAAAAAAAAGAACGACTCATCCCCACTATTGTTGTTGACATCGGTCGGCTTGGGTGATATGAAGTTCCTATAAGACCTTCATTTTGCACCTTGAGAACAACTCTCTATCATAGTCTTTTATGTGAATTATTTTGGGGTCTAGAATTTGAATATTGAATGGCAGTGTTTCTACCAATGTTATTAGTACTAGACCAGACTCGAACCTTGGTGGAGGTAATGGTTTGGTCAGACCAATTGAACCTGACCATTTTCAGCTATTAGATGGTCAAAATTTGAAAAACTTTTAAACGCCTCAGGAAAAATGCAAATAAATTGAAAAATAAGAAAAATGGGAAAAAAAGGAAATTAAAAAAAATCCTAACAAAGATTACAAATTATTAGGAACTACAAGAAAATTATAAATCCACAAATACACATTTTAGTAGCTAATTTTACAAAATATGTGAATATAACATACCAACCTTAATGCCTAATGCATTCCACTAAGGCACTAATTCGTCAAGCTATAATCAGTTAGACCATTCAGTTTAAATTTTATTGAGCAAGTAAAATTAGTAATGCAGTAAAATCAAGAGAAATTTATGTACAGACCATATTGGGGGGGGGGGGTCAATTACAAATGGATCACGTGTCCAAGCGGCGCACCCCCCCCCTCCTTGGGGTGTTTTTTTTTTTACCAAGTTACCCCTTTGTCCGGTAACTCGAACACCGGGCAGGTGGAGTTTTTACATCGTACAAAGCAAAACAGCTGTCCAGTGTTCGAAATACCGAACAACTTCCCGTCTTTTAAGTTTTTTAGCATTTGCTGTCCAGTGTTCAAAATACCGGCCACCTCTCTGATAAAGTTGGAGAGAGAAAGATCGGGAGCTGAAGAGCTAGGAAGATGGGTCTCAATCAAAGCTCGAGAAATTTGCAAATGGGGCTCGGGGCAAGAGATTGGGGAATTTTCGGTCGAGAGAGAGAATGGGTATAGTATCTATAATAGAGTTAGAGAGACTCCAGATTCATGGGAGAGCTAGAGAGAGAAAGAGTCTTGAAAGTTTAAACATGTATTACAGACTTAGTTCTAGAGAGAGAAACTTTAAACATGTTGGTGCAAAAAGCCAATTGGGGATCGGGTCCCTCTATTGTGTTTCTGCAGGCCTCAAATTTAAGCGCCCGCGCCCTCCAACTCACCAAAAAAAATTCTCCATATTTTCTCAGTTTCTCTCCTTTGACGGATAGCTCCCAGCGTAAAGCACGAAGCAAAGATGGGGACTGTTTCTCTATCCGAAAAATTGCAGAGAGAGAGAGAGATGGCTTCTATGCTTGGAGAAATTTCAGAAAAAAGAGGAGCATTATCTGGGGCTTCATCTCTGTAACTTCTGAATATTTGTGGGTTTTGATTGGGGAGAAAAGAAGCGGTTTTCATGTCTTTAGGAACCTCTTCAATTGAAATTCTTCGTAGTAACAGAGTCTTTAATGGCTTCAGCTTCTAAAACTTCTCGTATCTTCTGGGTTTTAACTAATGAAGGAAATTGCAGAGAAAATGGATCATATTTTCATGGTGTAAGCTTCTCAGACCTCAATTCTTCTGGTTCTCACCATAGAAAGAAAGTTGCTGAGAAAATGTTGGGTTTTCCATGGCCTGAGCTTCTGAAATCTGAACCGTCCTATTTCTGCGTTTTTCGTCATTACTCACAAGAACTTAAAGCTAAATTGGGGTATTTTTTTTCTCTTGCAACTTCAATGGAGCGGCTGGGTGAATGGGTGTGGGTATGAGTACGAGAAAGGGAGAGAGTCTCCTCTCTAAAAATGGGGTTTTGGGGTATGGGTATTAGAGAGAGAGAGAGAGAGAGAGAGTGGAGCAGCTGGGTGAATGGGTGTGAGAAAGGGAGAGAGAGAGAGAGAGTGTGGAGCGGCGT